GTGTCTTCCTTGACCCTTTATTTGTGGGGGGGGGGGGAGAAATGGCGAAAAGCAGGACACTGGTGTGTGAGCTGTCACCATCACTTGGCTTCTGGCTTTCTAGGCAGAGTTGGTTAGCTTTGTTTCCTGTTGTCTAGTGCTAAAAAAGATGCAGAATAAAGTGAGTGGTTTGAAACGCCAAGCCAGAATCTTCTCTTGTCTTAAATACATGCCAAATCTGTTATATTCCATATGCCTTTTGGGATGTAACGGGGGGCACAATTTAGCTCCCTTTCATCATGTTTTCAAATACTCTTCCTTCAAAAGCCTGTTGAAATCACATAGAGGGAGAGGCAGGTGAGATTTCAGAGTGATACCGTAATTGCACAGCTCTAATTTTGTCTCGCTCCAAATCTCTGTTCACAGGTTTATTAAAATCCATTGTATTTGGCAAGGATCATTTAGATTGGCAGGGTTATACAAAGAGCCCATAATACTCTGAACAATATAGCTTGGGGAGTTCCTGGGCTTGAAAAAAGTATTCACAGGAAATATCTCTGCTAGATACAAATGAGACCTGGTAGGTAGAAGGAAAATGGGGTGGGAGGGAGGGGTGGCATTTGCTTCTGTGGCACTTTCTACTGAGTACACAAGTTCCACTTGCTAGAAACGTGTCCACTCCTGCTGACAGAGTTGTCCTGCTTAGTGGTCGTTGTCCAGCTCATTTATTTACTCTCTCGGGTTTGTGTGGGCAATTTTTTTCACTGTTGGTTGTATTTGATCTTGTCAGCACTAGCAATCAGAGAGTGTGAGAAACGTGCTCCATCTTTAGCCTAGATTGGAACAGATTTTTTTCCTAAATTTAACCAGCGTGAACACAAGAGGAGGTGATTATAATTAACCCTGGAGTGGCAAGCGGCACTTTTCCTGGGATAACCTCGCAGCAGGTCAAAGTGTCGCGTTGCACAGACGGTTGTCACATGTTTTCAGTAGATGGCATGCACAGAGCAGAGAACAGGATTGGTCTTGGAAACGCGTAGCTTCACGTGTGCGGCTGTCTGCAAGCAACGTTAAAGAAATTCCCGGCACGTTGGAGAGAGGAGCGTGCGGTTAAACTGGAATTGCAGTGTTGCTACTCCTGGCCCAGTCCCATCTAGCAGGAGGAGCTACGAATTGGTGTCTGAAGGAAGGGGAAGAGGGGGGAGGGCTTTTCCCCAGAACTGTCATAATAATTAGTATACCTTTTTAATAGCAACTTCAAGAGGTGCAGCAGTGGGTCTTCTAAGTGTGGTGCAGCAGAAGCCACCAGTTTCTTCACAGAGTGGGCTCTAGCAGAGGCACCAGCACATACTCTTAAAGTCTGTGTTATTTGACATGGGAAAGAGAGGAGGCGCAGGGAGTTTTGCTGCTGAGCACTGGATGGGTGCCTAGAGCTGTTTTTAAAGTAAATAAATCTGCATAGTGCAGGGAGCATAACAGCGGTACACGTTAATTCTAGAGAAAGCAGTTTTTCACTCTGCTCTGATGTTTACCCGGTAGCATTAGCAGCTGTCATCTGAGTGTCCTTATTATCAAGTTCTTTTAGCACCTCCGCTTACTCTCTAAGCTTGGCATTTAAGAAGCCCACCTTGCTTTTGCACTGTCATTTTTCATGTGGCCGTCACACATCCACCTGTCAGGGATGTTTTGTGTCACAAATACAGATGCGCACACACACTTCTTTAGATGCAGCATACAAGTCAGAGGGGAGCACCAACTGTAGATACGCGCTTAGCCAAATAAGCAGGTGGGAAATATACACCCAAAGGGGATCTTGGGCAATCTCGTGGGTGAGGGCTGGGGTTAGTTGGATTTTTTTTTTAATCCAGCTGATTACATGAGTAAGAACATGCAGGCAAACACAAAACTGTTGTCAGTGCCTGTACTGCCTTGAAGAATGTAAAGGTAGACACAAATGTGCACTCAGATTCTCATTTAGCTTTGCTTCTTTTGTGGAGCATCTTCAACAGGCAATTCTCGTACCATGAGGTGGCCAACTCTTGTACTCAGCCACAGCCCCACGCTACTCGGTCTGTTTTCTAAAGTTTGCTGTTGTGGAGCTGTGTGGCACCACCACAACCTAAACTATTTAGCCCATTTCAAAAGATCCCAAATCTGCTGGTTTTTAAATTATTGTAATTTTTTATATATATTTTTTAAATCGGCCTAGGATTTTCACTGCTTGCCATTGCAGCGCTGATCATATTCTTTCGCTAATCTATTAGCTGGGCTTCAGTTTAAGCTCCAAGAGTTTTGCCTTAAAGGGACTCCCCCTCACATCTGCAAAATCCAGCGCTGCCACGTTCTTATACAGGCCTGCTGATACCCCTTCATTTTACCACAAGTCTCTCCGATAAATGTCACCAGATGCAAGAGCAGAGGCATGGTCGAGGCGCCCAGAAATTGCTAGGGCAGGCAAAGAAACAGCCTGCCAACAGCATAGAGCCTGGCAGAATGAATGCAGGGCTGTAAGGCGAACAGTCCTCTCTTTATGACTCACTGACAGTCTCTGACCTTGAGGAAGTCACTTGGCCTCTTTTTGCCTCTCTCAGCCCTATAGAAAAATAAAGAATAGAGACCACAATCTCATCCTGGTGGTACATTCAACTGAGTTTCCCCCAAATTGGTGATTTGTGTTCTTTTAAAAAAAGACGAATGCATGAAGAATGCCTGCGGAAAAGCAGACTGGCCACATATCCCCCATGTCAGTCTCCTTTCCACTC